CAGGGGTACAAACAAGCCCGGGCAACATTTAGTAGGTGAATCAACATGGATTTCTTGGAACTCCTTCAGGATATCACCTAAGCTCCCACCTCAACGACAACAACCTCCTTGATCCCCTACAGTCTGGCTTCTGTCCCCTACACTCCACCGAATCCACCCTACTCAAAATCACCAACGACCTGCTAACCGCCAAAGCTAATGGCCACTACTCAGTCCTCCTACTCCTCGACCTCTCCTCCTCTCTGCCTTAGACACAGTTGACTACCCCCTTCTCCTTAAAAAACTATACTCCCTTTGCATCAGAGACTCCGCTCTCTCCTGGCTCTCCTATCTATCCCAGCGCTCCTTCAGTGTTACCTATAACGCTGCCACCTCCCCCTCTCTGTTGGGGTCCCCCAAGGCTCTGTCCTCGGGCCCCTTCTCTTCTCCATCTACACCTCCTCCCTTGGCCAATTGATACACTCCCATGGCTTCAACTACCACCTCTATGCCGATGACAAGCAAATCTACCTCTCTACCCCTCGCCTCACCCCTTCAGTCTCCGCCCGAATCACTTGCCTACTGAACGACATATCAGACTGGATGTCACTCCACTTCCTCAAATTAAACCTTTCCAAAACTGAGCTCCTACTTTTCCACCCCACCCTCTTCATCACGATCAATAACGCCACCATCAGTCCCACCCCGCAAGCCAAAGTCCTAGGTGCCACTCTAGACTCCAATCTGTCCTTCCAACCCCATGTCTAATCACTGGCAAATTCATGCAGGCTCCACCTCCGCAACATCTCCAAAACACGTTCGTTCCTAACCCCGGACACTACTAAACAACTCATTCACTCCCTTATTATCTCACGCCTGGACTACTGCAACTCCCTTCTCACCGGCCTACCTCATCACAGACTATCGCCACTTCAGTCTATCCTGAACTCAGCGGCCAGACTCATCCATCTTACCAACCTCTCCGTATCTGCCACCCCCCTCTGTCATTCCCTCCACTGGCTTCCGATTGCCCAACGCATAAATTTCAAACTACTAACACTGACGTACAAAGCTATTCATAATACTGCCCCAAACTACCTCACCGACCTGATATCCAAATACCACCCAACACGTACTCTTCGCTCCTCACAAGACGTCCTACCCTCTAGTTCCCTGGTCTCCTCCTCCCACGCCCGAATGCAGGACTTCTCCAGGACTTCCCCCATCTTCTGGAACTCACTACCCCAATCCATCAGACTGTCACCTACCCTTCTCACCTTCAGGAGCACCCTGAAAACCCATCTCTTCAGGGAAGCCTACCCCACCCTTACCTAACAGCCGATCTCCTCCACTCCTCCTACCACTCCATCCCCCACAGCCACTTCCTCCTGTACCACTACCCCCTCCCTCCTAGATTGTAAGCTCCAAAGAGCAGGGCCCTCGAACCCCTCATGTATTGTCACTGTATTGTCTCATGTACTGTCCCCCACTATAATGTACAGCGCTGAGCAAACTTTTTGGCGCTATATAAATACTGTATTTTAATAAGAATAATGTTAAAAAATATAACTGCTGGTTTATCAAACAAGGGAAAACCTGTAAATTGCTGGATAATTTCCAGAACTGGTTGCCAGAAGGATTGTAATGCAGAGCAATCCCAGATGATATGTAAGAAAGGATTCGGTATGTGTGTTACTAAGCCATTGATGATGCAGCCATGTAGGTGAGTATAAATGTTTTTTTGTTTATTCTTGCAGTACTCTTTTAAAGGATAAGTTCACCTTTGGAACATGTTGCATGTTCCACCCGTTTTTAGCCCATAGCTGCGGCCACGCCCAATGCCCCCCTCCCTCTGACAGATAGTATGGGGAAACTTCTCCCCGTACTGTCAGAATTGAAAACAGCGCGGTCGTACAGGGCTCCGCTCACACGGCTGCGTCATTCATTCATGGACTACTGTGAATGAATGAACTGCAAGTTCCAACAGCCTAAGTGGCTCTGGACTTGTAGTTTTCAATGAACTACAATGGCACTGTGGGGCGCTGTGGAGCGCCGTGGTAGTTCATTGAAGCTTCCTGTCAGAATATCTGTTTGGCCGTACGACCTGTAAGGCAAGCAGATATTCTGACAGGTCTGCAGAAGACCTGCATGGCATAAGTGATCTACTGATCGCTGGTGCAATGCTTTCCAGGCTACTTTGGACAAAAATAATAAATGCACATTTTTTTTACCTGCAAAAAAATGTGCATTTATTATTTTTGTCCAAAAGGTGAACTTATCCTTTAAGAAGTCTGAACTTTGCAGTTTGCACTTGGTGAGCACCACAGTGTCACAATGAAAAGATATGTGCTTAGTCACCGTAAGGTTTTAGTAGGATTGTCTGCTTTAACAGCCTAAACAAGCTCTCCATTATAATATAGAGAATCCACTAAAGAGTGTTGGAACCAGAATGGTCGGTCACCTGCCCTCTAGTGCAGTCACCACTTAATGGGGAACCGTGGTCCGGATTCAGACCAAGTCACTGTCCCATCCAAAAGACTGTGGTCCTGCCATTTAGGAGCCGGTACTTTTTCCCTGCCTCAGCTGCTGTCGCTATCACAGCAGAGCGGAGAGTGAGAGGCAGTACAGGTGATGTGAAGGGGGCCAGAGCTGCAGGGTGCTGTGATGTGAGGGGGGCCAGAGCTGCAAAGGGCTGGGATGTGAAGGGGACCAAAGCTGCAGGGGGGCTGTGATGTAAAGGGGGCCGAAGTTGCAGGGGGGCTGTGATGTAAAGGGGGCCGAAGTTGCAAGGGGGCTGTGATGTAAAGGGGGCCGAAGCTGCACGGGGGGGGCTGTGATGTAAAGGGGGCCGAAGCTGCACGGGGCTGTGATGTAAAGGGGGACAAAGCTGTACGGAGCTGTGATGTGAACGGGGCCAAAGCTACAGGGGGCTGTGATGTGAAGGGGGCCAAAGCTACAGGGGGGCTGTGATGTGAAGGGGGCCAAAACTGCAGGGGGCTGTGATGTGAAGGAGGCCAAAGCTGCAGGGGGCTGTGATGTGAAGGAGGCCAAATCTGCAGGGGGCTGTGATATAAAGCTGTGCCAAAGCTGCAGGGGGCTGTGATATAAAGCTGTGCCAAAGCTGCAGGGGGCTGTGATATAAAGCTGCGCCAAAGCTGCAGGGGCTCTGATGTAAAGCTGTGCCAAAGCTGCAGGGGGCTGTGATGTAAAGCTGTGCCAAAGCTGCAGGGGGCTGTGATGTAAAGCTGTGCCAAAGCTGCAGGAGGCTGTATTGTAAAGGGGGCCAAAGATGCAGCGGGCAGTTTTGTGAAGGGGGCCAAAGCTCCAGGGGGCTGTGATGTGAAGATGGCCGAAGCTGCAGAGGGCCATGATGTAAAAAAGGCCAAAGCTCCAGGGGGCTGTGATGTGAAGATGGCCAAAGCTGCAGAGGGCCATGATGTAAAAAGGGCCAAAGCTGCAGGGGGCTGTGATGTAAAGGGGGCCAAAGCTGCAGGGGGCTGTGATGTGGAGGCCAAAGTTGCCGGGGACTGTGATGTAAAGGGATGCCAGAGCTGCAGAGAGCTATGATGTAAAGGGAGCCAAAGCTGCAGGGGGTTGTGTAATATGAAGGGAGGCCAGAGGTGCAGGGGGCTGTGGTGTGAAGGGGCCACCACCATGGGGAGGTGCTGCGAATGGGTCAGTGCACACCATTGTGAAGGGTGGTTCAGAACACTACTGTGGAATGGAAACTGTGATATGAAGGGGGGATTGTGATATGCAAGTTGTGATATGCAAGGGAAATTTTAATTCAATACCCCATACTCTAGTGAATTCTCTAAAGGGCTATACAGAGAACTCTCTCAGTAAGTACTTCCACAAAAAAAAAAAAAAAAAAAAAAAGCTCTGAAGACTTAGTAGTGGGTCAAAAGCTTTGATGCCTATAGTTCTGTAACTATTTCCTCCGTGCACAAAAGTTCACTTAAAAGTCATATTCATCAGGATATCTATTATTGAGTGGCGCATGCATCTGAGGTTACTCAGGGATTACCAAACTGGAAAAGATCTAAGAATTGCTTCACTAAACACTGCCTTGTTAAAGGCATTTTCTACCTTTTACAAAAATTAATAAATGGACCCATATTTATTAAAGTAGGTCTTTAGTCAGTCAATTAGCTAGAATACTTCAAGATGGCCCCTTTTGCAGGTATAGCTATGTAAAACATTGTAAATAAGTGCCTATACTATGTAAACTCCAGTAATACATGGTCTGACCCTGCTCTGCACATGCTCAGTTGCTCTCTAGTTTTAGGCACTGTGCTGAAAACGTAGAGGCCAATCTAATTAAGCCTAAAGATTCACTGCTGCTCAGGGGCCCTGGGCTGCAGTGAAAAAACAACTTGACGCAAGAAGCAGGAACAATGCTGGAGGCAATTTACAGCACACGCTAATTTTAGTAGCATAATAAATGTGGAATGTATGCTCCTTGGTAAAGAATATTATTTTGTTATCAAGTTGTTATGAGTAAAGTACCACATTAATTAACGGTGGATTGCAGATGCAATGCTCAGGTTCCTGCAGACTACTCTCCCAGCTTCAGGTCCATACTGAGGTCCAGACCTTCAGTTACTAGGCTAGAGGAAATATCACTGGACTACAAAAAAAACAAAAAAACAGGGGATAGCCATTATCATTTAGCACCAAAAAAGGTCCAATTTGTCCAAATACAATAGTCAGCAGGGGAAATGTCTCCATGCATGCGATTTAGCTCTGATGGTGGAATCAATTGATTTGTCTCCTTCAATCTGTGCGGGTGAATGAAAGAAATCTAAACATGTATGGCTAACTTTAATCTGACAATGAGCATGAGTACCATATTCCAGCAGTGTACAGCTCAAACTAGTATCTGACTACACCCATAGTGAAGGAATCTATTTTGAGTTGTGTTTCAAAGAGACAAATATCTTATCTAAATTTAAAAGAAAACAAAACAAAAGCAGAAAATGTATCATGAGGATGAAGAGCAGAGTTTTATTTCACCTTACCTCCTTCCACCTCTCCAAGCGGGTGTCCTTTAGAGTTAAACCACATGACGTCCCCATTCTGGCTGGCATTAAGGTTACACTCTATGACTGTGCTGCTTCCTTCTTTGGCTATCTGGTCTCGATGGGCTGGAGAACTTGCAGAGATCTGAAACTGAGCGTGCAAGGAGGCATTGTGAAGACTAAGGACCTGTGTGAAATTTTCCCTGCTCTGTGCAATGCAAAGGACAGTGCACAGCAGGAAGAAAAGGGTCCTTGAACAAAGGCAGGAAAGAGACCTTCCCATCTGGTCAAACTAAAGACATCGATTCCAGGGGCAGATGTTTCAAAGGCAAATATCCATTGGCAGATCTCTCATACGACGCTAAGCAGTTGACTTGTGGGTTTCTCCAACATATTTGTACAGCTCCATCCCTGTTAAAGAAAAAATAAAAGGGTTTTAAAGACCATGTAAATTACATTACAACAAAGTATTCTTGGTCAAACCACATACTTGCACCAGGAAATGGGTGCAGTGAAAAAACAAGTCACACAAAAGCTAGTTAGACCAGATGAGACCAGACTTGATCACGTCAGCAGTTTTATTGTGATCATCAAGTGACCGTCTGCAAATGGCTGAAATAGCTCTTGAAATATGAAAATGTATGCAGGTGCTTTGGTGTCATTCAAGAGAAGCATAGTTTTACTGGTTGTTCGTTATGAATCACTTGCACTTGATTTTTGCAGCTGGAAAGCTAAAACAACCAGATTTAATAAACACACTTGTCACTGTCCAGAAAACTCATGGACAGAATATTAATAAAAAAAAAAACAAACAAAAAAAACACAAATCAAGCATGTCTGAAAAATCTGCAGAAAAATGAATGTTTTTAAGCCCAGCTGACACTAGTGTGCATTTGCACGGGCACTGCCCGCGTTTCATGCTAGAAGCTGCATGCACCTTTTCCGAAATGCATCTGCAAGGAAACCACATGGTCATTTTGACGATATCATTTCCCCATGGTTCAGGCACCCATGATTGTGTTGCGGGATGAGATGCATAGGGATGCCATACGCAAGACAAATGAAATGCGGCTGCGGGTATCACAGAGATTTCCACACCTGCAACCAGCCTGCACCGTGCGGGCTAGTGTGAACCAGGGGCAAAAAGGGTTTTTTTTCCCCAAGGTATCACACCTAACTTGCACAGGACAAAAAGGGACATAAGTAAAGGTAAAATGTTTTTTTTCCCCATTTTGGATGGAAGAGGGAGTAGCAAACTCCAGTCACAGGGTTTTCATCTGTGTCTCACTGGGGAGATTTACCTTCACCTCCTGTTCTGTAGAAACAGGAAGTACCCTCTAAGTCAGTTGTCACTGGATAATATGTCCCATTGGAAGATTTCCTCCTTATTCCTGTTCTAGCAGCGTTTCTAAATTTGCTTTTCTCCCTTATGCAGGCCATAGATGGGGAGAAAACCGGCCGATTTTTCTTTAAAAAAACGAAAAATCGGTCGTTCAAGCGGCCGACGTTACCAGGAATGGTAAAAAAAAAAAAAAAAAAAACCCACCGATTTTCATCCGGTCTACAGCCGGCAAAAAGTGTCCCTGCAGAGAGCTCCACTATTTCTTTGACAGTGCTTTGACATTTATAGCGGCTGCAACAATGTATCTATTTGTATCCATTTCGGATACAGATGTTTTTTTTTCGGAAACAAATAGATACATTGTTGCAACCGCTATAAATGTCAAAGCACTGTCAAAGAAATAGCAGAGCTCTCTGCAGGGACACTTTTTGCCGGACTGGAATTCCTCTTCTTCATCCTCCTCCTCTTCTTCATCCTCCTCTTCTTCTTCATCCTCCTCTTGCAGGTCACTGCTCATGAGCAGATTTTTTATCGGTAAAAAGATCGCCCGATTTGCCCATAATTGCCGCGAAAATCGGCCAATCGGCAGATTCGGACGATCTTTTTACAACTTTACCGATAAAAAAAATTTGCCAAAATACCGAAAAATGGCCGACCTATTCACTAACGATCCGAAAATCGGACGATTTATTTTCGGCTGAAAAATCGGCCGATTTTCGACCCATCTATGGCCTGCATTACTTTTAGTCCCTGTGATTGTTTAGCTGCTTTGGACATCAAAAGAGGCCCTGAGGGTCCAGTAGAGCCCTGATGTCTTGTTAAAACATACCTATCACCTGCCTCTTGTGATTGCAATAAACTTATAAGGAAAAAAAATTAAAAAAAAATGTGTAAAAAAACAAAGCAAGTAAATAAAAGTATAAAAAAAATATATATATATATATGTAAAAAGCACCTCCATCCCCCTGCACATAACAGCATATGCAAACTTGCATACAGGTCCTGCATGCATATGTAAATAGCAATTACACCACAGATATTGTTGTGGACAACAGAGTGAGAACAATAATTCTCGATCGATCTTTCATGATTAACACTACACTGATAACCTGTAAAAGCATCATCTTAGAAAAAGTTTAGGTACCACAGTCTGTCACTATTCCACGAGCATGCACAATTTTAAATCTTGACACATTTGGTACCTATTTACTTGATGCCACCACATCTTTTATATTTTACCAAACAACTGGGTATTATGTGTTTGTGTGCACTAAAATTTATTCAGGGCCTTTTTTTTTCAGAAAATATATAATAATTTCGGGTTCTAAGACATTTTCTAGCAAAAAATGTTGACTTTAACAAGTGTGAAAAATTAGAAAATTGCCCTGGACAGTAAATGCTTAAATGAGTTTCTTGAAGAGCACCTACTCCTAGTAATATAGTGTCTGAGTTTATTTCACATATAACATAGGAATACTAATACCAACAGGCATTCTACTAGGGGTGTGTCTAAGTGTGGGTTACCTAGATGATCATGGCACACAGTTACAAAGAAAATGTACATCAAAAACTATTTAAAGACAGAGACTTGAGCACATAGAATATTACTACCATAAATGTACAGACTTTAACCCCTTCCCACTAACTGTGCACATTTATGCAGCCTTGTGGAAGTGGATTTTTATCCAAGGGGCTGAATATACACAATACTGCCAAAAGTATTGGGAAACCCTTACAAATCATTGGATTCAGGTGTTCCAATCACCTCCACGGCCACAGGTGTATATAATCAATCATATAGGCACGCAGACTGCTTCTACAAACATAATAGAAAGAAAAAAAAACCACAGAAGTTATCTGTTACAATTCACCACCAAATAAAAGCCCAATTTGTCTTGAAAAAAACAAGGTATGATCCAATCTCTTCCATGGCCACAGTGTGTATAAAATCAAACACCTAGGCATGCAGACTGCTTCTACAAACATTTGTGAAAGAATGGGTCGTTCTCAGGGCTCAGTGAATTCAAGTGTGGTACCGTGATAGGTTGCACCTCTGCAATAAGTCCATCTGTGACATTTCCTTGCTACTAAATATTCCACGGTCAACTGTTAGTAGTATTATAACAAAGTGGAAGCAACTGGGAACAACAGCAAATCAGCCATGAAGTGGTAGGCCATGTAAAATGAAAGAGCGGGGTCAGTGCATGCTGAAGCACACAGTACGCAGAAGTTGCCAACTGTCTGCAGAGTCAATAGCTAAAGACCTCCAAACTTCATGTGGCCTTCAGATTAGCACAACAACAGTGCATAGAGAACTTCATGGAATGGGTTTCCATGGCCGAGCAGCTGCATCCAAGCCTTACATCACCAAGTGCAATGCAAAGTGTCACATGCATTGGTGTAAAGTACGCCGCCACTGGACTCTAGAGCAGTGGAGACGTGTTCTCTGGAGTAACAAATCATGCTTTTCTGTCTGGCAATCCAATGGACATGTCTGGGTTTGGTGGTTGCCAGGAAAACAGTACTTGCCTGACTGCATTGAGCCAAGTGTAAAGTTTGGTGGAGGGGGGATTATGGTGTGGAGTTGTCTTTCAGGGGTTCGGCTTGGCCCCCTAGTTCCAGTGAAGGGAACTCTTAAGGTGTCAGCATACCAAGACATTGTGGACAATTTCATGCTCCCAACTTTGTGGGAACAGTTTGGGGATGGCCCCTTCCTGTTCCAACATGACTGCGCACCAGTGCACAAAGCAAGGTCCATAAAGACATGGATGAGCGAGTTTGGGGTGGAGGAACTAGACTGGCCTGCGCAGAGTCCTGACCTCAACCTGATAGAACACCTTTGAGATGAATTAGAGTGGAGACTGTGAACCAGGCCTTCTCGTCCAACATCAGTGCCTGACCTCACAAATGCACTTCTGGAAGAATGGTCAAACATTCCCATAGACACACTCCTAACCCTTGTGGACAGCCTTCCCAGAAGACTTGAAGCTGTTATAGCTGCAAAGGGCGGGGCCAACTCAATATTGAACCCTATGGACTAAAACTGGGATGCCATTAAAGTTCATGTGCGTGTAAAGGAAGGCGTCCCAATACGTTTGGAAATATAGTGTATCTCAATACCTACAACTCTACTATACCTTCCGCGCTCAGTTCTCTCAATCTACCCCGTTGATCATCCAATCAGCCCTGGAGGAAGTCCTCAGATCTCATTGCGCTGAGAAACCCGCTTCCCATCTCCTTCCTACCTGCTCTAGACAGCTTGAGGGACCGATGGTCGCGGGACGTGCCAGCGCTAGATAACAACGATTGGGATGACTGGGACTTCCCCTTCCAAACCTTAGTTACTTGAAGAGACCATTTAATCCATTTTAAATTTGTCCACCGGGTGTATTAGACTTCATAGGATGGATCCCTTGCACTCTCTGGTGATGTGGAAGTGTCCTGGGAGATTTCGCTCATGTGTTCTGGCACTGTCCGAAGATAGTCGACTTCTAGAAAGCGGTGATGTCTCTGTGCAATAAACTGATCTCGGTTCCCCTACAACCCTCCATATCGCTCCGTATATCGGGCTTGATTGTCAACTTTCTACCTATGGTAGCTGAACTCACCTTGGTTAGACTACTTTTATTCTATGCAACGAAGACCGTAGCATTGAACTGGAAAAAGCCTGCCCCCATCTCTCACATTCTGGAAATGGTTAGTCAATCACTTACAGCTCTATAAAGAAACCTACATAAATAATGGCTGTCCCAAAAAATATGACAGAGTGGTCCAAATGGCTGGCCAAGCCTTTTACTGCTTCAGATATGGCTGCAAATTGAGTAGTTCTCATCTCTAGGGTGTCTCTGCGTTTCTTTTGGTCTTTAGGGCATCCCAGACTCTCTAATTTTATGTACTGTCTTGATACTCCTTACTGATCTGTGTAGTCTTCAGGTCGTGGTCATGGCCACCTTGGCTTCTTTAATTGGCCATCCATGTAACCCTCCCCTCTGTCATTTGCTTGATGTTTATTCCTGCATTGCTCCGCCACTGCGAAGGTATGGTATATGTGAACCACTGTTCGTTGTTTTTTTGTTCTTTATGTACAAAATGCCGTATATCTTTAATAAACAGGTTTAAAAAAAAAAAATTTAGAAGTGCCCCCATTCTCCGCACAAAGGCATACGTAGGTCACGCACACATAAACAGTTCTCACACCACACATGTGAGGTATTGTCGCAAATGTCAGAGGGAGAGCAATAATTCTAGTACCAGACCTCAAATGTAACCAGTAAAGGCTTTTAACGCGTCACCTCTGGATATTTATGAGTGCCGTACTTTGTCGCCATTCCATGAGCAACTTTAAAATGTGAAATGTTAGGCATATATTTACTTGGCGAAACATAATCTTTTATATATTACCAAACATTTGGGTATTCTATTCAGGGATGCACTGAAATTTCAGCCACCAAAATAGCATTTTGCTGAAAGGAAAAATTTAGCCAATACAGGGGACTGTGTGTACTGCAGATGTTGGGGGGGGGGGCGGTGTAGAAAGGCAGGAGAGGAGCAGTGTATACAGTGACTGGCTGTCACTGTATGTCAGTGCCGGTATTTAAATGTAGTTACCGGCTTTTTTTTTTCTTCACTTCACTATAGCTCAGAGAATTAGCTGTCACTTTCCCCCCAGCTAAAAAACAATGTTTCCTTTTAGTTTCTTTCCTCAGATTAAAGTTTCCTTTAGCTCTGGGGAAGTGACAGCTAATTCTGTGAGCTTTAGTGAAGAAAAAAAAAGCCAAATCGGCACTGACATATAGTGACAGCCAGTGAGGGAGCCTCTCTGTATATACTGCTCCCTCACTGTATACACTGCTCCTCTCCTGCCCCCACCCCCTCCCCCCTACAAAGAGGACCTGTCACTCATATGCTATCACATAGGGGACTATCGGTCCCCTATGTGATAGCAATAAAATCATAAGTTAAAAAAAAAAAAATATATATATACATGAAGGTAGAAATTAAAAAAAAATAAAAAATTGAAGCCTCCCAACCCCCACATACGCAGACATTTTGTTTCGGTTTTCAGCCACATGAATTTTCGGGATCAGTTTCAGAATTTTCATTTTGGTGCACCATTAATTATATTGTATTTTTGTGCATTAAAATTGTGTTGGAAAAAATCACTACGCAAATAGTGTGCAAGAGAAAACAAATTGTAACACCCGCCATTTTATTCTCTAGCATTTCTGCTTAAAAATATAAAGTTTGGGGGTTCTAAATAATTTTCTAGAAAAAAAAAATGGATTTTCACATGTAGGAGAGGAATGTCAGCATTGGCCTGGGGGTCAAGTGGGTAATATCAGTGTGTTTTAGGTAGGATAAAAAAGCAAAATGCGCACCATTGCTTCTGGGCGGTACTACGGGTGCAAATAACGCACACATAGGTGGTATTGCCACGATCGTCAGGAGCAGGGGGAACTTAGTTAGAATTTTTTGGTGATAGCTGTTTTTTTATCCTATTAACATAACCTAAGTAAAAGAAACAAAACCAACCCCAAACTCTTCCTAAGGGCCTCAGCCATAGTAACACAAGGTATGCAGAGGATGGATGCACTATGTAACTATAGGCCAGTGATGACAGGCCTTCTGCACCCACAGCCCGGCGTCCTATGTGGTAATCACAGCCCGGCGTCCTATGTGGTAATCACAGGGGCCACAGCCCGGCATCCTATGTGGTAATCACAGGGGCCACAGCCCGGCGTCCTATGTGGTAATCACAGGGGCCACAGCCCGGCGTCCTATGTGGTAATCACAGGGGCCACAGCCCGGCGTCCTATGTGGTAATCACAGGGGCCACAGCCCGGCGTCCTATGTGGTAATCACAGGGGCCACAGCCCGGCGTCCTATGTGGTAATCACAGGGGCCACAGCCCGGCGTCCTATGTGGTAATCACAGGGGCCACAGCCCGGCGTCCTATGTGGTAATCACAGGGGCCACAGCCCGGCGTCCTATGTGGTAATCACAGGGGCCACAGCCCGGCGTCCTATGTGGTAATCACAGGGGCCACAGCCCGGCGTCCTATGTGGTAATCACAGGGGCCACAGCCCGGCGTCCTATGTGGTAATCACAGGGGCCACAGCCCGGCGTCCTATGTGGTAATCACAGGGGCCACAGCCCGGCGTCCTATGTGGTAATCACAGGGGCCACAGCCTGGCGTCCTTCTATGTGGTAATCACAGGGGCCACAGCCTGGCGTCCTTCTATGTGGTAATCACAGGGGCCACAGCCTGGCGTCCTCCTATGTGGTAATCACAGGGGCCACAGCCTGGCGTCCTCCTATGTGGTAATCACAGGGGCCACAGCCTGGCGTCCTCCTATGTGGTAATCACAGGGGCCACAGCCCGGCGTCCTATGTGGTAATCACAGGGGCTACAGCCCGGCGTCCTATGTGGTAATCACAGGGGCCACAGCCCGGCGTCCTATGTGGTAATCACAGGGGCCACAACCCTCATCTTGTCACAGTGCAATCGAAGGCAAAAGTCATGGCGTTCCTTCTCCTTACGTCACTCCGCTCCAGTATTGGACTACACTCTATCTGCCAGGATAGTAGGGGGGCAGCACTGCTCCACACTGGTACGCTATACTGGAGAGACCTCCCCGGGACTCACCTGCTGAGCACACAAGTCCCCACAGCCGCATCCATACACCTCCTCCGCCCAGCTGAGACACCTCCCGGAAGCGGAGCTTTGCCCGACATACCACTTCCGGGGCAGGCTGGCCGCTTCGCTGACCTCAGTGGTGTTGGGTGACTGGAGCTGTCAGTGACGTGGCGACGTGTGCTCCCCCATCAGGTGACGTAAGCGCGGAGGAGAACTCCGGACAGCTGGTGCGCCTCACACAGGTAACGTCAGGTACGTCCACCTGCTAGAGAACTACGAGTCCCAGCATGTCCAAACATCCTGTGCCACGCACTGACCTGCTTCCATTGTCTTCTCTCCCCTCTGAATGTGTCATGTGTAACGTATGCTGGCTGTGCATGGAGAAGATCGTGTCACTGTTGTTGGTCGTGTATTATATAACACACTATATTGACAAAAGTATTGGGCGGCTGCCTGTACACGGACAGCAACTAGAATACATCCCAGTCTTAGTCTGTAGGGTTCAATATTGAGTTGGCCCGCCCTTTGCAGCTATAACAGCTTCAACTCTTCTGGGAAGGCTGTCCACAAGGTTTAGGAGTGTGTCTATGGGAAGGTTTGACCATTCTTCCTGAAGCGCATTTGTGAGGTCAGGCACTGATGTCGGGGGAGGAGGCCTGGCGTGCAGTCTGCGCTCTAATTCATCCCAAAGGTGTTCTATTGGGTTGAGGTCAGGACTCTGTTCAGGCCAGTCAAGTTCCTCCACCCCAAACTGGCCCATCCATGGCTTTATGGACCTTGCTTTGTGCACTGGTGCGCAGTCATGTTGGAACAGGAAGGAGCCATCCCCAAACTGTTCCCACAAACATGGGAGCATGAAATTGTCCAAAATGTCTTGGTATGCTGACGCTTTAAGTGTTCCCTTCACTGGAACTAGGGGGCCAAGCCCAACCCCTGATACACAACCCCACACCTTAATCCCCCCTCCACCAAACTTTACACTTGGCACAATGCAGTCAA